ATGATGCTACTTCAGTATTCTGTGATATTCACAGCAGCGCTGCTGCAGAACCATACATGGTTTTATACCTAACTTTCCTTTTGGCATTTTTCCATTGCCATCTGAGCTGTATATTAGGACATTCTTTTCTGCTTCCTAAGATTGCCGAGAAACAAGTCAAATCTCTGAGTCCTGTTCAGGGAAGAGACCAACTCAATCTGCAGAGAGTTAGTGTAAAAGGATCAGTAAAACGCCCTGTGTCTTTGGTGTTCCAAGTGGTGCCCAGGCCATATCAAAATTCATCACTTCCTTCCTTCACTGCCGCTCAGCTTTCTCTTACCATCAGTGAGCATTTTGGACTGATGACTCTGAGCAACTAAGCCCCCAGATGCACTTGCCAGTCTGTAGTAAGTTCCCATTTACCTTTATCACTAAGTATAGAAGTTTCAAGAGATACCCAGGAAATCCCCTAAATTCCCTCTAGAATCATCTCCCCAAATTCTTCTTTTGTTTTATGTCTTTGAGACAGAATCTTCAATGTAGCTCAGGCTGTCCTTGAACTCCTCCCAGCAACCTTCCTGCTTCAGCTTCCCGAGTGTCAGGATTATAGGTATGTACTACCGCACTGGGCTTCTCTCTTCTCCTGCCGCCTCCTCTTTGTGGCCTCTTTTCTTCACAGAGTCTCACTATGTAGCTGACACTAACCTGGAACTCCTTCTGAAGCCCAAACTGGCCTTGAATTTGTGGCAGTTATGATTCTGTCTCGAGTGCTGGGATTACAGGCATGGCCACCACTTCTTCTCTCAACTTCTTTTTTTCTTTGTCTTTTTGAAGCAGGGTCTCCCTGTAGGCCCAGCTGTCTTGGAACACACTATGTAGATCAGGCTGGCCTTGAACTCACAGAGATCCGCCTGTCTCTGCCTCCCAAGTGCTGGGACTACAGGTGTGCGCCACCACGCCCAGCTCCTCCCAACTTCTTTTTAAAAATATTTTATTTATTATTTTTATGTTTTTAATGTGTATGAGTGTATTGCCTGCTTGTATGTAAGTGCACCCATGTCATGCAATGTCTGTGGAAGTCAGAAGAAGGCTCCAGATTCCCTGGAACTGGAGTTACAGACCGTTGGTAAGCAGCCATCTGAGTACTGAGAATTGAACCTGGGGCCTCTCCAAGAGCAGCCAGTACTCTTAACTGCTGAGCCATTGCTCCAGCCCTTTCTAAGCACTCGTTCTGATCATTCCTACCACATGGCCCCTTTCTTTACCTCTGGTATACTGGCATGAGGAACAAAAATGATAGGAGCTAGTTACAGCCTCTGCACTAGTGGAATGGTTTATGAAGCAAAGATGTTCCCTTTCTTCCCCCGCCTCTCCTTGGGAACCACAATCTCAGAGCAGAATTTATATCTGGGAGAGGAGCACAAATCCCATGCAACGGCTTCACTGGACGTGATAGGAGAACTACCCTGTACTTCATGTACTTCATTATTGGAGGACAGTTCCCATCACTTTGTTTTTCTCAAACTGTATCTTAGCTGTTCCTTCAACTAGCTATTCAGCAAGTCTACTAGGCTGGCTACTTCTGTGATTGACTTGAGAGCAGTGGATCCAAGGCCAAGTGTCCCTGTTGCATGTTTTTCTAATTAGCTTGGTCCCATGGTGGCAGTGATGCACAGTTTTCCATTTGTTATGCTTTGACTTTGAAATGCTCCTGGAGGCTCACAGGTTAGAGGCTTGGTTTCCAGATGATGGGCTTAATGGAAATGACTAGATTGTGAAACTCTGCCTTCTTCAGGGGATTCATCCACCGATGCATCATAATGCGATGGTAGTATTGGGAGGGAGACTTTGGAGGCAGACCCTCCTAGGAGGAAGCAGGTCACTGAGACATGCCTCTGAAGAGTATCTTGTCCCTGGCTTCTTCCTGTCTGTAGCTCTCTGCTTCCTGGCTGCCATGTGGTGAGTAGCCCCTGCCACATGCTCCTGCTGCCACCATATTTTGCTTTGCCTTAGGCGCAAAGAAATGGATCCAGATCACCTTGGACTGAAACTTCTGAAACCATGAGCCCAAACAAATTTTGCCTCCATGGAAATTATTCTTTCTCTGGGGCTGGAGAGATGGCTCAGGAGTTAAGAGCACTGACTGCTCTTGCAGAGGACCCAGGTTTGATTCCCAGCACCTACATGGCAGCTAACAACCATCCTAACTCCAGTTTCCAGGGGATCTGATGCCCTCTTCTAACCTCCAAGGATGTTTTATGACATGGGTGTACTTATGTATATGCAAACAATATATTCATACACATAAAATAAAAAAATAAAATATTTATAAAAATATATTGTTTCCTCAGGCATCTAACTAGCACACCGTTACAGTGTCTCTAAGCAAGAGGAACTTGTCTTTCTTTGGCAACAGGGATAGGACTGCTTCTGCTGCTGTGGAACCCAAGGGAATCTGGTATATCTGGAAGTGGGGGTTAATCAAGAGTCTCTGACTTTTCCACCCAAACATCCCCATCCAGTTTTCAAGATCCCACTTACCCCTGTACATGCTGGGACTTTGATGGAGGAGACCTAGAGACTGTGCATTCAGTCCTCTTTAATACTTTAGCACCCTTACAATGAGCTGTTGGGCCTGATTTTCAGGCAGTCTTTCAAAAAATGTAGAGCAAGATCTCCTTCAAAGCTTCTGTAGAGACTCTTTAGTATCCACAAAGTGCCATAAGGTGACAGGTAGCTGCTCTAACCTTTTTTTTTTTTTTAAAGGTTTCCAATGGAATTAAGAAATCTGGTCTGTTCCATAATCATGATCATCATCCTTTTACTATTCTCAGGCCCTACCACTAGGTGCCCCAGCACCTTATCTTCAGTGTGCATCTCCTCCCAATCAGCCATAGCTAGACTCCTTAGGGACTGTGGTGCTGCCAGCACCATCCTGCCTCACTCACCCTCTTATTACCAGCAATGGAGTTGTTGCTGCTTTCTGACTGACTCATGAGCAGTCTGGTTCCAAAATGCCTGCCTGGAGCCTAGGGAGATGGTTCAGTGGGTAAGAGCGCTTGCTCTGCAAGCATAAGGACCTGAGTTTGAATCCCTAGCACATACATAAAATGCTGGGAATGGCTGTGCATGCCTGTAACCCCAGTGTTGTGGTATGGAAACAAAGCTGGCCAGGAGTTTGCTGACTAACCAGCCTAGTCAAATGGTAAGCTTCTGGTTCAGTGTGAGACCCTTCCTTAAGGCAGAGAAGGATGAGGGGGGCACTTCCTTAAGGCAGAGAAGGATAGGGGAGGACACTTGATGTCCAGGTATGGGATACTACCCTTTAAGTTGTTGGTCATGGGTTGGTCATAGACCCCCCAAAATAGGCTATCGTCATTGTTGTTCATTACTCACCATAAGTAGATAGTAAGACCCTATTGCTGAAGCCACCACATATTTGGGTGATAGGACATGGAGAATTCAAGGTGATAGTGATCTGGAAGTTCCTTACTGACTAGCTTTCGTAGTAATGAAAGGTGCTATTCAGGCTGCTGAGGGAGAAAAATTTTACCTAGCTGTGAATACCTACGCTTCCAATGCATGCACCACACACACACACACACACACACACACACTCCACACACAAACACCGCATCCCCCCACCTCACACCCCCCCAAAAAAACACACACACACAGTCTGCCTGGGGCTACTCTTGGTGCCACACGATGCAGCGTGGTCTCCTCATGTGGGCAGTTTATTGGTAAGTGTAAGTCCAAGGACCAGGAGACAGGAGAAGGATCGAAGGCTAGGGAAGGTCAGAGAGCCATCATCAAAGGCATTACCCATTGTCAAAGTATCCATCATCAAAGGCATTTGGCTGCTTAATCCTTCAGGGTGTTTGAAAGTCATATGAAACACCCATGGACATCTATGTGCAGGGAGATGCATGTGTTCATCAACTGCTGGATCTACTGGTCAAGGAGTTGCCCATGAAGCATTAACTGCTTCCCACCCTACACTCTGGGATGCCCCTGTCTGGGTGCTGGATAATTCTAGTAGAGTCCCATGACCTATGGCATGAAGAGTCAAGGCTTGATGCAGAAGGTGGGGAGCCTGAAGCTTGGGATGTGCCAGCTGAAGTCAGAATAAGATTGGCGGTGATGAGATTAGCAGGGGGTGAGCCTGAGAGAAGAGGGGTCAAACACGCTTGCATGACTGAATTTATGAGCCGATATTCATTCCTGACACATGCTCACCAGCCTTTTCTTTATAAAATGACAGTCCTTTCAAGTTTGCATGGTTTGCTGTGAAAATTAGAGGTCCTGTGTGAGCAAAGCCTGGTGACAGCACCAGGTCAAAACTCCCCTTAATATGAATGATAATGTTTGACATGTGTTATTATATCTGACTACGCACCTGTGAAAACAATATTAATGATAATTAATATGCAAAGTATGTTAGTAGTCCGATGGAAAGACCCTGTGTGGTCCCTTGTGTGAGCATCGAAACAAATGTTTGCTGTTCACACTGCTCCAGAGAGTAAGAACAATCTATAGAACTGTTAGGTCTTTATTAGAGCACAGCATACAATTATCCTGTGGGGCTGACTTGGCTACCCAGAGCCTAGAATCATTCCAAATCTCTGCTCTCAAGGTGTTCACAGGCTGGCAAAGATGGACAGATAGCAACAATTCAGGTGAGCCTTGCCAGGGCAGAGGTAGCCCGGGGGATTAACGGAGCCACAGGAGGGGGGGACGGGGGTGGCACCTGATGAGGGAGGCCGTAGGAGGCTACCAGGCTCCTATGGTCACTCGAATGACTTTTTTTTGCCATCATGTTTTCACTGCCCTATTTATTTTGTATCTCTATGGCGGGGGAGGTATAAACAAACAGTAGACGCTTGAGAGCGTTTGAGAATTCTCTGCACCCCTGGATCAGGTGGCACAGGAGGAGTAGAGCTCTCAGCAGCACCTGTCCCTTTAAGAACCCCAGGCGCTCCCACGGGCGGGGCGAGGAGCGACGGTTCCGCGTAGCGCGGTCTTCTGGGTGCTGCTGTGGCTTTAAGGAAGCCGGGCTCGGCCCGGGGGAGGCGGAGAAATCCCGTCCGCCCGGATCTCCGGCTTCCGGCAACTCGACAGGGCTGCGACCCACGCTGAGCATCTCAGGCCCTCCGGACCGCTGGACCCCCAGCCGTGTGAGGTGAGGCGGCCAGGGCTGCTGGGCTGTTCCGGGCGGAGGGGCCCGTCGGGGCCGTTGTGGCTCAGCAACGCCCCCCACCACACACACCCCTGCCTGTGCTTCGCAGGGTCCCTGGCTGCAGGGTCAGCAACACTAATTGCTACTAATTGCCTGGCTCCGTGCTAATCCCCATACACACTCTATCTTATATAATGGTCTAGACACCACCATGAACCCATTTTACAGATGAGAAAGTTGAGGCCTCGAGGAGTGTACACACAGCAGAGAAGCAACATGATAGGGATCCAAACCCAGGTCTGTCCTACCCCAAAGGCTGGGGCCTTAATACTGGCTAGACTGAACTGCTTTAACCATCACATCTCTGAAATCTAGGCTCCCCTCCCTCATCCATCTACAGGGTGCATCTGGTCTCTATAAACATTCACACAGTGAGTGACCCCATGGTCAGTTTCTTTCTTGTTGTTGATTTTTTTTTTTTTTTAAATGGGATCTCATGTTACTGAGGTGGGCCTCAACCTCACTATGTAGCCATGGATAACCTTGATCGGCCTATCTCCACCTCCTTAGTGCTGGGATTACAGACATGCTGGATTTTTGCAGTTCTGAGTAATCAAACCCAGGGCTGTATGCATGCTAGGAAAGCTCTCTCCCAAATGAGCTGACCCCTAGCCTTCAGTTTCTTTGTAACAGTTTCAATAATAGGAGCTGCTTAGTGGTAATTTTTATGTAAACCATCAAACTGGGCTGAAAAAGACTAGGAAAAGGAGTACTGTTTCTAAAGCTGAAATAGGATTTGTGGGTGGGGAGATGGCTCAGCAGGTAAATGTGTCTGCTGTTCTATCCCTAGGACACACATGGTAGAAGCCACATGTGTGCAGCAAACACACACACTCACAAACCAAAAGTAATAATTTTTTAAGAAAAGAAATGACTTGTTTGCAGCTTGTTCTGTTTTCCTAAGTTTGTTTATTTCTTCATGTTAGACCCCTGAAACTTTCCTTCTTCACCGCTTGGGAGAAGACCCCCTGGCTGAATGGCAGCTGTGGATGACTTGCAGTTTGAAGGTACAGCAGTTGAGTGCCCAACTTTCTCTTCATGGTCACTGTTTCTGTTGTCATAGCTGTGGATTTTCATTGCTATATTGACATATATGTTAGAGGATTTTTATTTCAGGCCCCTTGGCCACACCCAGGTTTTTCCAGTTTGACCACACCAGCTGTTTGTTTTTTCAAAGGACCCTTCTGATTGGCAGCAGGAATCATAACTTGGGCGTAGCATTTCCCTGGGGTTCTCTCAGCACTTACTGTACTCTGGCATTACTGTGTTTTACATGTGACCCTACATCTGAGGAAGAGTTTGATGTTTAAAGAGAAATCCCTTCTTGGGCAAATTCTGTCATTGCTGTAATTCTTCATAATACATCTGGTACCTGAACACTCTTAAGAGAACTTTCTGCTCTTCCAGAGAACCCAAGTTAAGTTCCCAACACAACCTGAGTTTGGTTCCCAGCACCCACCCATGTCAGGTGGCTCATAACAGCCTGTTACTCAGTTCCAGTGATCTGATGCCTCTTCTGGCCTCCACAGTATCTGCACACATATGACACGATCACTCCACAGACACACACACACACACACACGTACACATAAATAAAAATAAATGTAGTATCTGACCGTTCCTTATACCCTCTACCACTGTCCCGCCAGGTTCAAGGTACAAGGACATAGAAAAACCTTGTACCTTGTGTCCTTTCATTGTCACTTTTTTTTTTTTTTTCGGTCTTTTTGAGACAGGGTCTCCCTGTAGCCCCAGCTGGCCTGGACCTCACCATGTAGACAGGGCTGGCCTCGATCTCACCGAGATCCACCTACGTCTGCTTTCCAAGTGCTGAGATTAAAGGTGTGCGCCACCACACCTGGCCACCATCACTTTTTGTCTGAATTATAGTTCCTGATTTCCTTTTGATTTGCTTCCTTGCCTACCCCTCTATAGTCTATAATTTGTAGCCAGAGTAATCCCTTTTGAAAAATTCTCCCATAGTGCTGAAGCTTGAACCCAGAGCCTTGTTTATGCTACATAAGTGTTTTACCACTGAGCTATGTCCTTTTTTTTTCGGTCTTTTTGAGACAGGGTCTCCCTGTAGCCCCAGCTACCCTGGAACTCACTATGGAGACCAGGCTGGCCTTGAACTCACAAAGATTGGCCTGCCTCTGCCTCCCAAGTGCTGGGATTAAAGGCGTGTGCCACCATGCCCAACTCCTAGAATAGTCCTTTTAAAAAACTAGGTTGGAGTGTGCCATTCCTTCAGAATGTAGTAGCTCCCATCTCACCAGGAGTGAAAGCCAGAGCCCCTTCTGTGACTTAGAAAGCCAGTGTGCGCTGCCTCACGTCTGCCTCCTGCTGCTTCTTTCCCTGTCTGCCCTGCACAGCAGTCTTGCATTGTTCCCCTGGCACCTAATAGAGTTCCAGCTTGGGGCTTTTGTGTTGTTTTCCGATGTGAGGACGCAGTCTTCTTCCAGGTAGTTCCCACAGCTTGGCCTGGCCCTTTCAGACCTGCCTCCATAGCGAGGCCTTCCTTGGTTATGCTTTCTAGAAGCACAGTGGAAGGAAGTACAAGCATTGAGAACAGCATGCATAAAGTCCCCAAGAAGGGAGGAAATTCAATATGTTTTTTCTCCAAAGGGCTGAAAAAAAAGGCCTGTGCCTAAATCAGAGAGGGGTCAAGCAGAGGTTGCTGACCCAAGGCAAGGCTTGAGAGGAGGCAGGCAACGATGCAGATGGGGCTATAGAGACAGGCGTTAAGGTCTTTGGCCTCAGAAAAGAGCACATGGTACTGAGGGGGTCATTGATGGAAGAATATAGTGTTAGATGACAAAGTGGAGCTTGGGAGCCTTCCGGCAAAAGTCACCGTATTAGAAAAGGAATGGCGGCGAAAGATGCTTAGGATAGGCCAGGGTGTAGACGCAGAGGGTGTTACTATCAGAAGTCCTCACACTCCAGCCCTACCGTTTAGGGTTGAGGTGAACAGGAATAATTCACACAGAGCAGAGTGTGTGGGATCATCATGGTAGACATCCTCACCTACATTCCTACCAGCCTGCCCATGCCCTCTTGTCCTTCCAGCATGGGGCACGTGTCCTTGTCTTCCCTGGATCTCACTCATCCCCTTCTTGTATAGCACCTCTGGCCATCCCCCTGAAGCCTTTTCTCTGAGAAGCCATTCCTGATTCTATCAACAGACTGGGTGCTGTCTTCCTTGGGTCTCTCTGGCCTTCATTACGTAGGACTTACTCTAATCAGAGAGGCTTAGGTGGGTCAGGTACCCTACTAAAGGCTGTATTTAGATAATCGTTTCATCTCCTCTCTCCTCACTATGTTTTATTGCTCAGGCTGATCTTGAATTCATGATTCTCCTGCCTCAGCCTCCCTAGTACTGAGGTTGATTTCAAAGCCTGTTGCTATTTGTTGTAGATGGGGTCCATAGCAAAGCTGAGGTGGTAAAGCAGTGCTTACACTGGCTGGGACCCAGGTCCTTAAATATGTAGGCACATGTCCTCCACTGAACTGTAGCCCCAGCCCCAAAACTTCTTTCAATAAAAAGCACCCTGCTTCCAGTGTGGGAAAGTCTCCAAATCTTTGTGCTTTACTTGATTTCAGAATTCGGTGATAGAGCCACTAGAGCCACTTCTCTGGCAGCAAGCCCAGATGCTGCCACAGTCAGCATTGAGGATCCTAGTGACGCCTCCAAACACCAGCCAGGACCCCCAGGACGCTTGGGGAGAGAAGAAGACGATGAGTTGCTGGGAAACGATGACTCTGACAAAGCCGAGGTTTGCACTGACCTTTGAACTTTTCCTCCTAGCTTTCTTTTTAGAGCTTAGAGTTCATGCATTTATTCATTATTATGTGCTAGGTACAGTGGCAGGCAGTGGTGATGGGAGGTGAAATGACCCGTGGTGTCACTTTGAGGGGGGTAGACAGACAAATGAACAGAGCATCGTCACCCACGGGAAGCACTGATGCGCGTGAAGGTCAAGGGAGCCGAGAAGAGATTAAGGAAGGCTTCCTGGGGGCAGTGACACCTGACTGAGTCTGCTGAAAGAAGGGATGGCCAGGGAAGGAAGGTAGGGAAGGGTGATGGAGACAAAGGGAAGGGTCTGGGTGAAGTTGCAGAGGCATGAAAGCACATGGTGCAGACAGGGATGCCCTCTGTCTTCACCTACGTTGTTATGAAGGATAGGTGAAGGGAGGAGGTAAGACTGCGGGACTCAACCCAGCAAGTCTGAATTACATTCTGAAAATAATTGGGAGCCAGTGAAGGATTTTTTTTTTTTTATTTGTCTTTTTGAGACAGGGTCTCCCTGTAGCCCCAGCTGTCCTGGAACTCACTATATAGACCAGGCTGGCCTTGAACTCACAGAGATCCACCTGCCTCTGCCTCCCAAGTGAAAGATTTTAAACCATGTGTCTAGATAAGTTTAAAGATATTTTAGATATGGCGACCTTCAATATAAATTGAGAGAAGATGGGCTTGAGGCCAGAAGTCCAGACAGAGACAAGCTAAATGGTATAGACTAGAAGCCAAGAAGCTTGTGTAGAAGTGTGTCTAGTGGGACTTGGAGAATGGTTTAGGTGAAGGAGGCCTGACCTCCCTCTGGTTGGATAGTAAATAAATCAAGTGGCTATTGTAATCACAGATGTATTTCCATGCACATAGCTGAGTTGTCTAAGGAGAATAGTATTTCTTTCAGTATTTTGTACATTGAATCGTGACCATACACACACGAGGAGAACTCACTCAGGTACAGCAGTGGGTTCACTGTGCAGCTCCTGGGTACTGTCACCAGCTGGACAAGTCCTTTGCCATACACAGGATAGAAATCAGACACAGACTAATTCTGCAGTTAAGGAAAGTGAGTTTATTACAGAGAAGGAGTCAAAACACTGCTGTATCTGCAGAGAAGCTGGAAGTAGAGGAGCAAGTGAGTACGTTTCATTCTGTGGGGAAGGTTTTGAATATGCGTGCCTTTCCCAGGAAGGAAGGAGACTTAGTACAGACATGCACCTTTGCTTATGGCTCAGGTGCCTCTGCTTGTGTTATAGATCCCTGATGAGGCTCTTACACTGCTACTGTATTACAACAATGGTGTGAATGGGACCTAGGGAAGCCTAGATGGTTGTGCACACCTGTAATCCCAGCACTCCAGAGGATGAAGCAGGAGGATTGAGAGTTCAAGGTCAGCGTGGGCTACACAGCAAGACCCTGTCTTAAAGTTTCCAAGACAGTCCTGTCCTTGGTTAGATTCAGTGCCATGTGAGTGGTCACTGGTCTTAACCAGTTTGCCCATAGCTTTCTGTTTTTCTTTTATTAGCTTTCTTGCTTGCAGGTCACTTGCTAGGTTCCTGTCTTGTTTCTCTCTTTAAAGACTTCCATCTCCTTCAGTAAGGGCTCCAGTGTCAGGCCTTGGCATGTTGTTGGAATGGGTTGGACTCCACACTTGATTGTTAACTTAGGTGGAATTGTTGTTGTCTTCACACAAACTTGACCAAAATGTTTAAAAAGGTGAGGTCTGAAAATGGGTTCCTAACAAAATTATAACCATTAGAGGGCCTGAGAGGGTGGGAACTAAGTTAGGATGGCTTTCATTGCTGCCTAAATGGTGTTTGGGTGTGGGAAATTGTGGATAGCTTTAGTGTCAACTTGACACACCTGGGTTGAGGGAGCCTCAATTGGGAAATTGCCTTCATTGGACTGGCCTGTGGCCATGTCCATGGGGCACCTTCTTGATTGTTGTGTGATGTGGGAGGGCCCAGCCCACTGTGGGTGGCACCACCCTTGGGCAGGTGGGCCTGTGTTGCATAAGAAAGCAGGCTGAGTGGGGGCCAGGGAGCAAGCCAGTAAGCAGCCTTCCTCCATGGCCTGTGCTCCAGCTCCTGCCTCCAGGTTCCTGCCCTGCCTTGAGCTCCTGGATGAACTGTGACCCAGGATAAGGATATGTAAGTCAAATAAACCCTTTCCTCCCCAAGTTGGTATTAGTCAGAGTGCTTTGTCATAGCAATGGAGAGACAAACTAGGACAGAAATAGTACCTTAAAAAGAAACCAGTGGGCTAGATAGATGTCTCAGTGGTTAAATGTGCTGTTTTTTTGTTTTTTTTTATGAGGAACAGAGTTTGGCTCCCAAGCAGCTACATCAAGGGGTTCGCAGCTGCCTATAACTCCAGCTCCAGGAGATCTAATACCCTCTTCTGGCCTCTGTGAGCACCTACTTGCATACACACACACACACACACACACACACGTGCACACGCACGCACGCACACACGCACACACACAGACCCCACAGAAAATAATTCAGCTAGACAGAAGGCCAAATGAAGATATTTTTGCCCTTACGTGACCATTGGCTATCAAATAGCCAAAGGCATTTGGACATAACTGTTATTACATGGCCCAGGCCCTGAGAGCTGGCTTCTACTCTGCAGACCTAAAGACCTTTATAGTTACTGGCTCCAGATAATCCAAATATAGGCCTGGAGGAGACATCAGAAAGCTAACTTGGAACTGAAAATATGCTTAATATGTATCAAAATAACATAATGGACATTGCTAAGAACTGCTGAAAGTTCATTTCTGGAAGAGCCAATCAGACTGAGAATCTTTCTTTTCATGGCTGAAGGTGAAGATGCTGGAGACTTGGAATCTGCCAGGTTTCTCCCTGAACACCGTGACTCCTGGTGTCCTTTTTGAGTAGATCCTGTAATAAATAGCTGGCATAACTTCACTCATCCTTTTAGATTTGCTTTAGCGCTCGCTGCTTTATAATCAGTTATTAATTTTTCCATTCTTTGGATATGCTTTCTTACTATGTGTTTAAGCCTAAGAAAGTGTCCAAAAATAATCATTCTTCCTTTGCAATGTTAAGGTCAGTTGAAGTTCCTCAGGTTACTTTAGGGCCTTGGAGAAGCTCCTTGGCCCCTTTCATCTTTTTCCTCTACTGGCTATTCTGTGTGCTGGGACAGGTTCAGTCTCATGATCATATAGCATTCCTTGGATGCACATTCCCTCTCCAGGGACTCTCTTGTTTGTAGACCGTGCCCTGGTTAGAGGCCAACCTCTATCTGCACCATCTCTGACCAAGAGAAGCTTTTAAGCCTATTAGAGGAATCCCATCATCCTGTGGGTGTGGTCTGATAGAGGGAAAGTGCCGAAATACTGTTTTTTTTTTTTTTTCTTTTTTTCAGACAGGGTCTCCCTGTAGCCCCAGCTGGCTTGGAACTCACTATGTAGATCAGGCTGGCCTGAGTCTCACAGAGATCCGCCTGCCTCTGCCTCTCAAATGCTGGGATTAAAAGTGTGTGTCAGCCTGCCTCTGCCTCTCAAATGCTGGGATTAAAGGTGTGTGTCACCATGCCCAGGCTTGAAATACTGAATTTTTTAAAAGCCCTCTGTCTTTTTTGGCTTTACTTCTAAGCTTTGGTTGTTGAACCCTCAGGTCAGTTCCTCCAGCCTTGAAGGGGGGTAGTGGGTTTTATTTTTAATTTTTGTAGTTTCTATGGCTATTGGGGGGGGAGCACCTTGAAATGTAAAGAGAAACTAGCAGACAGCTTCTCCTTTTCCTAAGTTCATTTCTTTTTAAAACTTTAGGTCTATACTATTTCTATGTTTATTTTAGAAACACAGTAATATCTTTGGCACAAAGATGTATCTTTTCAGACAATTCTTTTTTGTCGTGGGCAGGTGGTTTTTAGACCAGGTTCACTATATGACCCTGACTAACCTGGCATTCACTATGTATACCAGGTTAGCTTTGAACTTGTGTTGATCCTCCTGCCTTTCCCTTCTGGGTGCTGGAAATTATAGGCATGCATCTCTATATCTGACTAGACAAAATTTTAAATGGGCTTAAGTTTAACCACTTTGGGGCCATCCTGACATACAGCAGATTAAGTATCCCAGCTGAGGTAGCCTTTGAGAAATTGTAAAGTTTTAAAATTGTCATACTTGAGCTTACTAGGCTTTCATTATTTTTAAAAATACCTTTCAGTTTTTACCTCAGGACTGCCAAGATGACTCGGTGGATAAAGCATTTATTACTCAAACCTGGCAACCTGAGTTTGCTCTCCAAAACTCACATAAAGGTGGAAGGATAAAACCATATCCACAGAATTGTCCTATGGCCTGCATATGCCCCCCCAAGTAAATAAATAAATAAATAAATAAATGTAAAAACAATTTTTTTTTTTTTGCAACAGGGCCTCATGTAGCCCAGGCTGGCCTCAGACTCCTGTGTGTTAGAATTACAGGTGTGTGCTGCCGTGCCTGGCTCCATAACTTATTAGCAGGTTTCTTTTATTAACTATAAAATATTAAATGACATAAAGAAATCCCAGTTTAATAGTTGGGAATATTATGGCTAGTCTCAAAAACAAAACCAAACAAGCAAACGACAACAAAGATCAAGCAAATAAAAAAAACCCACAAACCAAAAGCAAAGAAAATCCCCATTAGAATTTGTACTTGTTTACAACTGTTTTTCTTAGGTGATTAATGACCAATTTTTTTTCAGTTATGAGAGTGGTGCTTCCTGCAGTGCCAAGTGTTTGTGCAGGGCTAATTATCTTTGTTTACAGATGATAGCCATTATGCAAGAGCAAGTAGGCAGATGAAGCCTGAAAAAAGACAACACTACTAAGGGTTATAGTTTGGAGGACACCTGCTTGCTAAATGCTCTCCTAAACTTTGCACCTTAAAGATTTATTTTATGTTCTTTCTTTCTTTCTTTCTTTCTATCTATCTACCTACCTACCTATCTCTCTATCAATCTATCA